TTTCCTGGTTAAAGAAAAATACATCCATTCTCCCTTCACCAGCCTCCACTTCAAACAAACAGCAAGTTAGAAAGTCTTTATAGAGCAATCGGAAAGGGTTCACAAACCCTACACAGATGCTTCAATAAGCAAAGTCCTGCTCCTGTTTGACTGAGGAGGGTTCGTTGGGTTTGCTGTGTACACTGAACATTAGGAAACAGAGGTTATTGCAGTCATGGGGCTGCTGCAGGACGCCAAAGTCCACATCACCTGAACCTCTGGATTTCTGATCCCAGATCTGTCAATCAATCCACATTACGTGAACATTCAGTGGTGATGTGTGTTGGGAGTTTTAGAACCTAAAGATTTTGTGTTACTACCTAGGCAGCATCCCAAATGGCACCCTATTCCGTACATCAAAAGTAGTGCACTATATAGGGAATAGGGTGCCATAGGGCTCTGGTCTAAAGTAGTGCACTATATAGGGAATAGGGTGCCATAGGGCTCTGGTCTAAATTAGTGTACTATATAGGGAATAGGGTGCCATAGGGCTCTGGTCTAAAGTAGTGTACTATATAGGGAATAGGGTGCCATAGGGCTCTGGTCAAAAGTAGTGCACTATATAGGGAATAGGGTGTCATAGGGCTCTGGTCAAAAGTAGTGCACTATATAGGGAATAGGGTGCCATAGAGCTTTGGTCTAAAGTAGTGCACTATATAGGGAATAGGGTGTCATAGGGCTCCGGTCTAAAGTAGTGCACTATATAGGGAATAGGGTGTCATAGGGCTCTGGTCTAAAGTAGTGTACTATATAGGGAATAGGGTGTCATAGGGCTCTGGTCTAAAGTAGTGTACTATATAGGGAATAGGGTGTCATAGGGCTCTGGTCTAAAGTAGTGTACTATATAGGGAATAGGGTGTCATAGGGCTCTGGTCTAAAGTAGTGCACTATATAGGGAATAGGGTGTCATAGGGCTCTGGTCTAAAGTAGTGCACTATATAGGGAATAGGGTGTCATAGGGCTCTGGTCTAAAGTAGTGCACTATATAGGGAATAGGGTGTCCATAGGGCTCTGGTCTAAAGTAGTGCACTATATATGGAATAGGGTGTCATAGGGCTCTGGTCTAAAGTAGTGTACTATATAGGGAATAGGGTGTCATAGGGCTCTGGTCTAAATTAGTGCACTATATAGGGAATAGGGTGTCATAGGGCTCTGGTCTAAAGTAGTGCACTATATAGGGACTAGGGTGTCATAGGGCCTGGGGTCTAAAGTAGTGCACTATATATGGAATAGGGTGTCATAGGGCTCTGTCTAAAGTAGTGTACTATATAGGGGATAGGGTGTCATAGGGCTCTGGTCTAAAGTAGTGCACTATATAGGGAATAGGGTGCCATAGGGCTCTGGTCTAAAGTAGTGTACTATATAGGGAATAGGGTGCTACTCCCTCTAGTCTTTCCCCTCCTCAAACACAACATGTGTTACCTCCTAAAGTCTCATTTATCTATTCCACTGTGTTACTGTTTCCTTTCTCCCTCTATCTCCACCCTTCTCCAGTTCCTCTTTCCCTTGAATTTCAAATGCCCTCCGTCTCCCTCTCCCCCTTCTCCTCCGTCTCTCCTTTCTCGCCCCCTCTCTCCTTCTCTCCTTCTCTCCCTCCTCTCCTTCTCTCCTTCTCTCCTTATCTCCTTCTCTCCCTCTCTCCTTCTCTCCCCCCCTCTCCCTTCTCTCTCCTTCTCTCCTCTCTCCTTCTCCTTCCCTCTCTCCTTCTCTCCCTCTCCTTCTCTCCTTCTCTCCTTCCTCTCCTTTCTCTCCCTCCGCTCCTGTCTCTCCTCTCCTCTCCCTTTTCTCCTTTCGTCTTCCTTTCTCCTCCTTCTCTCTTTCCTCTCTCAATTCTGCTCCCTTCTTCCTTCTCTCCCCTTCTCTGCCCTTCCCGTCTCTCCCCCTCTCTCCCTCCTCCTCCCCTTCCCCCTCTTCCTTCCCTCCTTCTCTCCTTCTTCCGTCCTTCTCTCCCTCTCTCCCCTCCCCTCCTTCTCTCCCCTCCTCCTTCTCTCCTTCTCCCCCTTCTCACTCCTTCTCTCCCTCTCCCCTTCCCCCTTCTTCCATCTCCTTCTCTCCCCTCTCCCTCTCCCTCTCCTTTCCTCTCCTTCTCTCCTTCTCTCCTTCTCTCCCTCTCTCCTTTCTTTGCCTCATCCCCCTCCCTCTCACTCTCTTTCCCTCACAGAGGTTCTTATGTCACACAGAAGCCTCGTTTATACCTGGTGCTAACATGCGTCCTCTCTCTCTCTCTTTCTGATTGGGCCCACATTGTAGCTGTTGTACCTGGTATTAAAATGTGTCCCCTATCCGTCCACTGTGTCCGCATTGTGACCAGATATCCTGGTCCCTCCCTGTATGCTAATTGTTTGACAGATATTATTTAAAAAAATAATATGAATGTATTTATCGAGATCTGTTTACAATGTGTGTCCGACTACCTCCGGAGGTGGTCAGGAAGATCTGATCACAATGAGTCTTTTAAACATCTACAGCTGTCAAAAGGTTTGGACGGGATCAGGACAAAGGGCACCTGTTAGAACCAGGTCGGCTCCTCTCTCCTGAGGTCAGCGTCCCAGAGGACATCACTAGTAGGGTTCATCCTGAGGTCAGCGTCCTAGAGGACATCACTAGTAGGGTTCATCCTGAGGTCAGCGTCCTAGCGAGGACACACGGACGGACAGAAGGAGTGACAGAGGACTCAGGAGAGAGAGGAAGAGAGAGAGAGAGGCGGGGGATCAGATGATCAGAGGCTTGGCCCTCTTCTCCCCTCATCTCCTCTTGGTTTCCTCAGCTGGCAACACCCTGGCAACCAGGGGGAATTAACCCTCCTCCTCCTCCTCTCCTCTCTCCTCCTCCTCCCCCTCCTCCTCCTCCCTCCTCCTCCTCCTCCTCCTCCTCCTCCCAGAGCATAGCACACTGTTACAGCTAGGAGGAGCAGAGAGGAGCACGGTAGAGGCTGGACAGAGGCAGTCTGCTAACCCAACCCCCTGCCAAGATGTGACCGCAGCAACAAGTTCAAATCCCTCCCCCTCCCCCCGGCCCCCTTTCATTAACACGTCACATTAATCTGACATCCCACAACACATACCCTGGTCGGCTACACACACTGTTCCCATACACACTGGGGGGTCTGGTGGGGTCCAAGACAAAAACAGGAGTGACAGAAACGTTGTTGCTGGGTTACGGGGTAGTCTGTCACCCCCCTGGTTCAATGGCCTGACCTGACGCTGGCATAACTTTACAGGAGGAGACGAGCTGCTAAAACAGAGACTCCCTCTCCCCTACTGCTCACCATGTCCACCCCACCAGCAACATCACCCTCTCCCCTCTTCCACCCCTACTGCTCACCGTGTCCACCCCACCAGCAACATCACCCTCTCCCCTACTCCACCCCTACTGCTCACCGTGTCCACCCCACCAGCAACATCACCCTCTCCCCTACTGCTCACCGTGTCCACCCCACCAGCAACATCACCCTCTCCCCTCCTCCACCCCTACTGCTCACCGTGTCCACCCCACCAGCAACATCACCCTCTCCCCTCCTCCACCCCTACTGCTCACCGTGTCCACCCCAGCCAGCAACATCACTCTCTCCCCTACTGCTCACCGTGTCCACCCCAGCCAGCAACATCACCCTCTCCCCTACTGCTCACCGTGTCCACCCCACCAGCAACATCACCCTCTCCCCTACTGCTCACCGTGTCCACCCCACCAGCAACATCACTCTCTCCCCTACTCCACCCCTACTGCTCACCGTGTCCACCCCACCAGCAACATCACCCTCTCCCCTACTGCTCACCGTGTCCACCCCACCAGCAACATCACCCTCTCCCCTCCTCCACCCCTACTGCTCACCGTGTCTACCCCAGCCAGCAACATCTCAGTCATGTTAGCGTAGATCTCCTCCAGGTTCATCTCTCTGGTCACCAGCATGTGAGTCAAAAGCCCCCCCTTCACCTCCTCTCCTCGGGACACCAGATCCTGGATCTCCCCCAGACGCTTATCTACATGGATCTGGCCTGGGGGGGGAGAGAGGGAGAGGATAGGATGGTTGAGAGGGTTATGGTAACATAACGTGGACATTTAAGGAAAATATTCATCTCTAGTCCACAACAGCAGTATAGGGTTACATGCATTTATTCACATTCTAGTCATTTAGCAGACACTCATATCCAGAGCGACTTACAGTTAGTACATTCATCTAAGATTGATACACTCTTAGAAAAAAAAGGGTTTCAAAAGGGTTCTTCGGCCGTCCCTATAGGAGAACCCTTTTTGGTTCCAGGTAGAACCCTCTGTGGAAAGGGTCCAACATGGAACCCACATGGGTTCTACCTGGAACCAAAACGGCGCAGTGGTCTAAGGCGCTGCATCGCAGTGCTAGCTGTGCCACTAGAGATCCTGGTTCGAATCCAGGCTCTGTCACAGCCGGCCGCGACCGGGAGACCCACGGGGGGCGTCGCGCAATTGGCCCAGCGTCGTCCATGGTAGGGGAGGGAATGGCTGGAAGGGATGTAGCTCAGTTGGTAGAGCATGGCGTTTGCAACGCCAGGGTTGTGGGTTCGTTTCCCACGGGGGGGCCAGTATGAAAAAATAAATACAAAATGTTGTATGCACTCACTAACTGTAAGTCGCTCTGGATAAGAGCGTCTGCTAAATGACTTAAATGTAAATGGTTCTACAAAGGGTTCTCCTATGGGGAGGGATGAAGAACCATTTGAGGTTCTAGATGCCACCTTTTTTTCTAAGAGCGTAGGTGAGACATTTTTCCTCAATGAAGTAGCTATCAGCAGTCCGAGATAGAAGGACAAGACTAGCGTTTAGTTCACGAAAGGCAAGGGTCTTAGTTTAATATGTATATATATATTTTAATAGTCCTTACACTTCAATGACTGTTGCTGCAGTCATCAACACATTAGACACCTAGTGATGGGATTGCACTACATGTCTGTTTCGGTTTTTGAACGTAACATGGGTCTGTCTCTCTGCCCCCCTCCAGTCCCCCTGAAACTGGATCCGGCATTACATAAGCTTCCAGCTGGTCTGGAGAGAGAGAGGCCATCTGGTCTGGAGAGAGAGAGGCCATCTGGTCTGGAGAGAGAGAGGCCATCTGGTCTGGAGAGAGAGAGGCCAGCTGGTCTGGAGAGAGAGAGGCCAGCTGGTCTGGAGAGAGAGAGGCCATCTGGTCTGGAGAGAGAGAGGCCAGCTGGTCTGGAGAGAGAGAGGCCAGCTGGTCTGGAGAGAGAGAGGCCATCTGGTCTGGAGAGAGAGAGGCCAGCTGGTCTGGAGAGAGAGAGGCCATCTCTTTACATAAAGAGCCACGTTCACTCCCAACCCTGTTCAACCTCTCTCTCTCTCTATTCCTTTTCACATGCTGTGATGTTGACCTGAACTGTTTTTCTTTTGACCCGGTCCTTTTTCGGCACAGGTCCAGTAACTATAGCAGTGTATAGACAAGGCCTAGCTCAGTAGTGTTAAACAGCTAGGGGGTTTGCACAATTACAGAAACCTTCATAAAGCAGGTGGATTCCCTTCCTGTGTATACTAATTCCAGCACTCCTCCAAATCAGGATTTCTGAAAGACCTGGTAACTTTGGGAAGGTTTATGGGAATTGTGCAAGCCGAGAAACCGGTAGTCCTCCTGTTCCAGGGTAAAGTTTCCCATAGATAAAGATCTAGGATCAGCTTCCCCTCTCCAAATCCTAACCTTAAACCGTTAGTGGGGAAAAATGCAAAACGGACCCAAGATCAGAGTACAGACCAGCATTTCCCAAACTCGGTCCTGGGGGACCCCAAGGGGTGCAAGTTTGGTTTTTCTCCACTAGCACTACACAGTTTTATTCAAATAATCAAAACTTGATGAGTTGATTATTTGAATCAGCCGTGTAGTGCTAGGGCAAAAACTAAATGTGCACCTCTTGGGGTCCCCTAGGACCGAGTTTGGGGGAAAACCCCCTGGTCTAGAGGCAACTTCACAGTGACAACACTCACTGAAACTAAAAGAGTCTGTCCGACGAGTTACAGAAACACAAGAGCCTGAGGCCTTTTTGTTGTTGTTGTTGTTGGTCAAAACACCGGGGTAAATCACCATGGGAATGCAGCGTCACCCGAAACTTACTGAAACTGAACAGTCCGTCCCAGGAGCTGCAGAACTCCTCCCAGGGTCTGGGGATGATGGTTCTGAGCCACTTGGGGATGGCTCCAGCGTACATGGTCATCTTAAAGGAACTAAACATCAGGTGCAGGGCTGCGATGTAGTCCTGGCTCTTCTGAGGAATCTCATTCTCCAAGCAGCCCAGACGGTCCTCGTACAAGATGGCCGCCATACCTGGAAGAGGAGGAAGATCAAGATCACGAGAAAGTTGGGGTTTATTAGCTTAGCAATTGGAAATGATGGCTGCCACACCCGTACCCACTACCCATCCTCCCTGTACCCACTACCCATCCTCCCACTACCCATCCTCCACTACCACCCACCCTCCCTGTACCCATCCGCCCACCTACCCTCCCCTCTCCTTACCCATCCTCCACTACCCATCCTCCCACTACCCTCCTCCCACTACCCATCCTCCCAACCCATCCTCCCACTACCCATCCTCCTCCCACTACCCATCCTCCCTGTTACCCACTACCACCCATCCTCCCACGACCACCCATCCTCCCACTACCCATCCTCCCACTACCCATCCTCCCACTACCCATCCTCCCCACCTCACCACTACCCTCCTCCCACTACCCCTCCTCCCACTACCCACTCCCTACCCACTACCCATCCTCCCACTACCCACCCCCACTCCTCCCACTACCCATCCTCCCTACTCCCACTACCCATCCTCCCTGTCCACTACCCATCCTCCCATACCCATCCTCCCTGTACCCACCCATCCCCACTACCATCCCATCCCACCCTACCACCCCACTCCTCTCCCACTACCCCCTCCCTACCCACCCCACTACCCATCCTCCCACTACCCCATCCTCCCACTACCCACTCCTCCCCTACCCACTCCTCCCACACTCCCACCCTCCTCCCCACTACCATCCTCCCACTCCCACCCTGTACCCACTACCCATCCTCCCACTACCCATCCTCCCACTACCCACCTCCCCTTCCCACTACCCATCCTCGCCCTACCCCTCCCCCACCCCCATCCCCCCTACCCCATCCCACCCTCCGACCCACCCTCCCCCAATCCTCCCTCCATCCTCCACTACCCATCCTCCTGTCCCCATCCCATCCTCCCACCCATCCTCCCCACCCACCTCCACACCCATCCTCCCTACCCTCCCTTCCCTTCCACTACCCTCCTCCCCTACCCACTACCCATCCCTCCTCCACTACCCCCCACCTCCTCCCACTACCACCCTCCCATACCCTCCTCCCACTACCCACCCCCCCCTCCCACTACCCCCCTCCCCACCCTCCTCCCACCATCCCCCCCTCCCCTCCCCTCCCCCACTACCCCTCCTCCCCTACCCACCTCCCACTACCCATCCTCCCACCTCCCCATCCTCCCTCGTACCCACCTACCCACTCCTCCTCCCTACCCACTCCTCCCACTACCCATCCTCCCACTACCCATCCTCCCACTACCCATCCTCCCACTACCCATCCTCCCACTACCCACCTTCCATTGCGTATTTGAAGAACAGATCGTTAATATTCAGTACGGTGAGTCCGTCTGTCTGTTGGCTCCTCAGCGTATCCACTCTCTTCACCAGGTCACCCACCACAGCGTTCACATCGTCAGAGAACTGAGCCACGTCCTTCGGTCTCATGATCAGCTGGCGGAGGACGCTACGCATCTTCAACCAGTCCTCACCCTCCCTACAGAGAGAAAGGCGGAGGAGGAGGTCAGAGACAACAAGGTTTTCCAGAAATCCCGGTTGGAAGATCCCCGGAATCAGGAGGGTATGAGCAGGTCCCAACCTCATATAATGTTGTTGTAATTTAAATGACTAATTAATAAAAGGTCAGAAATGTTTTCTTAGTTAATTAAAATTAGTTCATATAAGGATAACAATGAATAAATCTGTAATAAATAGATAATTTGTAAGTCGCTCTGGATAAGAGCGTCTGCTAAATGATGTAAATGTAAAAAATAAATAAATATAAATACAAGGATATTTTACGGTGATGATAAATCGAAGAATATGTGATGCATTTAAAAAGGTTAAAAAGGGTTCTGTCAATGAATTCATAGACTCAAGTTTTAAAATAGTGAATAAATAAGAATCAACTGAGACATTACTGGTTAATTGAACAATATGTACGAGCTATGGAACTCTGAGAAAGAGATATTGGGCACTTGTGAAACATTCTGTTTTGTACCTATGTACATTGTTGATGATTTTATGCAAAAGATTCATTACAACTAACTGAAGTCGATACTACTTCTCTGCGTGAATCATTTCTATCTTTCCCTCCTTTCAGGGGTATAAAATGTTGCGTCCCATGATGTCACAGGTCGTAGTTCAGAGGTCAGACTCACGCTGAGATAAGTCCGGTAGATCGGCCCCTCAAGTCTCGGTACTCCTTCCAGGACTCCATGTTGCCTCTCTGCGGGGCCACACCCTCCATCCTCAGCACCTCGGCCACCAGATCCCGCCCTGCGATAGACACAACCAGTTGGGGGCCGAAACGAGACTTAAAGATCTTCCCATACTTCTGAGAGTGTTCCATCTGGAGAGAGAGAGAGAGAGAGAGAGAGAGAGAGAGAGAGAGAGAGAGAGAGAGAGAGAGAGAGAGAGAGAGAGAGAGAGAGAGAGAGAGAGAGAGACAGAGACAGAGACACAGAGAGAGAGAGAGACACAGAGAGAGAGAGAGACACAGAGAGACACAGAGAGAGAGAGAGAGGAACTTTTATATTACAGGAGGAGAGACACTGAGACCCATCTGGTGTTTATAATAAACAATACATAGATTATTATTACTATGTAATGTAATTAGTCAAATTCTCTCTCTGGAAAATAATATGGAATTCAACACCTTTCTGTCTCTGCATGCAGTCTTGTTTTCATTCTCTGTGTCCTAGAGGAGGAAGAAACACACTGTCTAGGGTTGCTGTGAACACTGTCTAGGGTTGCTGTGAACACTGTCTAGAGTTGCTGTGAACACTGTCTAGGGTTGCTGTGAACACTGTCTAGGGTTGCTGTGAACACTGTCTGGGGTTGCTGTGAACACTGTCTATAACAAACTGTCTAGGGTTGCTGTGAACACTGTCTAGAGTTGCTGTGAACACTGTCTAGGGTTGCTGTGAACACTGTCTGGGGTTGCTGTGAACACTGTCTATAACAAACTGTCTAGGGTTGCTGTGAACACTGTCTAGGGTTGCTGTGAACACTGTCTAGGGTTGCTGTGAACACTGTCTAGGGTTGCTGTGAACACTGTCTGGGGTTGCTGTGAACACTGTCTGGGGTTGCTGTGAACACTGTCTGGGGTTTCTGTGGACACTGTCTGGGGTTGCTGTCAACACTATTTGGGGTTGCTGTCAACACTGTCTGGGGTTGATGTCAATACACTCTCTGGGGTTGATGTCAATACACTGTCTGGGGTTGATGTCAATACTCTGTCTGGGGTTGCTGTGAACACTGTCTGAGGTTGATGTGAACACTGTCTGGCGTTGCTGTGAACACTGTTTGGAGTTGCTGTGAACACTGTCTGGGGTTGCTGTCAACACTGTCTGGGGTTGCTGTCAACACTGTATGGGGTGCTGTCAACACTGTCTAGGGTTACTGTCAACACTGTCTGGGGTTGATGTCAACACTGTCTGGGGTTGATGTCAACACTGTCCGGGGTAGATTTCATTACTGTCCGGGGTGATGTGAACGCTGTCTGGGGTTGCTGTGAACACTGTCTGGGGTTGATGTCAACACTGTCTGGGGTTGATGTCAACACTGTCCGGGGTAGATTTCATTACTGTCCGGGGTGATGTGAATACTGTCTGGGGTTGCTGTGAACACTGTCTGGGGTTGCTGTGAATACTGTCTGGGGTTGCTGTGAACACTGTCTGGGGTTGCTGTGAATACTGTCTGGGGTTGCTGTGAACACTGTCTGGGGTTGCTGTGAACACTATCTGGGGTCGCTGTGAACACTGTCTGGGGTCGCTGTCAACACTATCTGGGGTTGCTGTCAACACTGTCTGGGGTTGCTGTCAACACTGTCTGGGGTTGCTGTCAACACTGTCCGGGGTAGATTTCATTACTGTCCGGGGTGATGTGAATACTGTCTGGGGTTGCTGTGAACGCTGTCTGGGGTTCCTGTGAACACTGTCTGGGGTGTCTGTGAACACTGTCTGATGTTTCTGTGAACACTGTCTGGGGTTTCTGTGGACACTGTCTTGGGTTGCTGTTTTGGGGGTTCAAGCCTATAGAATGTGATGCCTGTGTTTTGATCTAGAGTCACTAAACTAAACCTCATCCCTATCTCTCTATCTCACAGAGTTTGGAAACAGGAATTTGGCTATACAGCACAACGAGATCTGGGACCAGGCTATGAAGATATAGACAGGCAGTTGTTATTAGGCTACATTCAGAAATAGTCACAGTCACACTAAACTAATCTTTCACTCTATGTTCTCTCTCTCTATCTCTCTATCTCTGTGCGGAACAATAGATGTAAAATGTGACTCTTTTCCTGACACCATTTCCCTAACCTAACCCTGTCCCTTACCCTAACATGGTGATGGTTATGCAACGCCTCCCCACGGTACTTCTGATTAGCTATTCAAATGTTCTTCAGATCATCAGAGACTTGAGTCGAGGGGGGGAAGGAGGGGCACTGAGACGCACAGCTTTGTCCTCAAGCTCAAGCACAAATGCCCCCCCAAAGGAGGTGCCCGAAAAACAACTGTTCTCATGTTGAAGGCAGTTGTATTACGTACTATGGGCATTTTCCATTCATTCAGCACACGGCGAGCACTCTAAAGAAAGTCTCTTTTCACCAAAACTATGCGCACTGTCAACCTGTAATGCCTACAGCAGCCAGGTTGTGTTATTGACCAGGTATCCGGCTTCTTCTTCAGTAGACTGAACTGAAGTACATGAATTGTACTCGACAGAAAAAAACAAATGTGCAGTCACAGTGTAGTCAACAGCTATACAAGAAGACACGTTTTCCCTATTGACTACCGGGTAATAATGTGCTGGCTTCTTCAACAGTGAGTCATAGTAGCTGATTTGTAGCTCAAGTGGTAGAGCACGGCGCTTGTAACGCCAGGGGTAGTGGGTTCGATCCCCGGGACCACCCATAACGTAAAAGTGTATGCACACATGACTGTAAGTAGCTTAGGATAAAAGCGTCTGCTAAATGGCTTATTATTATTTCCTGAGGTTTTCCTTCAGGTCTAGACAGACAGGGAAACCTCAGGTGAACCCGGCGGGACAAGGAGGAAGGAGTGTTGCTTATGCAACGGGGGGTAAAGGGTAATTAATACTACACCAGGCAATGTGTCCTCAGCTAGAGTTGCCTGTCTGGACTCCGGCAGCAGTCGGTCTACTCATGCACCCAGTTACGCAAAAGCAAACCGAATGTGGGATGTTTTGAGCAGTAAAAGACGCATATGGATGTGTGGGCCCTATAACGCGAACGTCTCGCAAACACAAAGGTTGCGTGTTCTGATCTCATCATGGACAGCTTTTTAGAGACTGCTTACTACGTTTGAGCTACTTTGCATGTTTAGCTAACCCTTCCCCTAAGCTTAACCTAACTCTAAACCCCTAGCCTAGCTAACGACCTAGCTAACGTTAGCCATAACACACATTTTACATTTAAATTTTAGTCATTTAGCGGACGCTCTTATCCAGAGCGACTTACAGTTAGTGAATACATATATTTATATATATATTTTTTTTAATCCTCGCCCCCCGTGGGAATCGAACCCATAACCCTGGCGTTGCAAACGCCATGCTCTACCAACTGAGCTACATCCCTGCCGGCCATTCCCTCCCCTACCCTGGACGACGCTGGGCCAATTGTGCGCCGCCCATGAGTTTGGTACAAATTGGAATTCGTAACTTATCATACGTTTTGCGAATTCATAACATTTTCTACCAATTGAAATTCTTAACAAAACCATACGAATGTTTGCTATTTGACACCTACCCCCGAGTCCAGGCAGAATTTTTTTTAGCAAATTGTCATTCAACAAAACAATGTGTCATGATGATTTACAGGTTATTACCATCAGAAAGTACTTTTTGTATATCTTTGGTATAAAGTGGGTATACCCCTTGCTCAATAAATGACATTTTACTGTCTATATAGCAATCAATGATATTGTTGATATCCACTTATTTTTAACAATCATTTTACATTTTAGTCATTTAGCAGACGCTCTTATCCAGAGCGACTTACAGTTAGTGAGTGCATACATGATTTTATTTGTCATACTGGCCCCACGTGGGGAATGAACCCACAACCCTGACTTTGCAAACGCCATGCTCTACCAACTGAGCATCCCTGCCGCCCATTCCCTCCCCTACCCTGGACGATGCAGAGCCAATTATGCGCCGCCCCGTGGGTCTCCCGGTCGCAGCCGGCTACGACAGAGCCTGGATGATGAATGCAATTTCCCATTACCCTGTCATTACCCACACAATCTACACAGATTTCTAAATAAAAAAATATGCAGGCTACACATTACATATCACATTTCTGTCCACGCCAAGTGTAAAGCACTTACTTTTTCCCAATATAACTACTGTAAAAATTCTAAATATATAACAATTTCAACAAGAAATTGCATTTTTGATAGTGGCCTTTATGCAGATATACAAGTTTAGCCAGCGCAGGCCCATATTTATGGATTAAAATAATTATTTCTAAATGTGGTAGTTAAAAATACTATAGACAGATAAACACAATAATCCAAAAACCCATTGTCATTCAGTTTTAAACCCAAATGTTTGATGTGATTGTAATGACATCTGCAGTAAGTGGGAAAACGAGTAAAATCAGTTTGTCGAATAAAATGGTCCCAGCCAATACCAGTTTATGGTTCCTGACAAAATGAAACTAAGAAAATGCCACAAAAAAATGTCCAAAAGTGCCCATAGTTGCAAAAACACCCAGTAGCCTACCTGTATTTCGTGGATTCTGCTGAAACCGTCCCGGTAAAAGAACTCGATCAGGTTGCTGATGGAGCTTGGTCCCGGCATCTCCTTCAGACTCTTGATCCGGGTGTCCTTAGCTACCACCTCCGCCCTGGCCCCCGGTGTGATCACACCCTCCGGGAATGTCTCTTCTCGGGTCGGGCAGATCCGGAGCGACTCGCTGGTCGCAGATTTGTACAGCGCGCGTGAATTACTGGCAAAACTCTTATTGAGCACTTCTCCCAAAACACTCCTGCAGCTCAGTTGAAGGATTTTATTCTGAAGTGCCATCTTGTAGTTTATGTTCTAATGATCTTGTAGGCTGTCTCTTTTGACGCAAGAAAATGACTTGGGGGTGAAAAACTCACAACAAAGTAGCCTAACCAATTTGTAAAAAAAAAACTCGAATGAATTCACTTCTGCTTTGTGCCAAACTGCACGTGAGAGAGTGATCGATCCGACTCCTGAATGGACTGAGATTCTTGGAGACAGTACTGAGAGGAGAAGCAGACGTCTTTTAAAGAAAAGTTTATGTAACCCTCGGACTGGAAGAGTATTGGATGTTCAGGGGCGTGGGGAGGGAGCGATAGGGGTTCTTGTTACATAAAATTGGGCGTTCCATCACACAAAGAGAGAGAGACAATGTTGCACATTGTTACAACACTCTATATGTACATACAGTTTTTCTCGATTGCTATAGACACATTTCTTGAAAGCTGCTCTCCTTTTCTCTTAACTGTGAACACAAAACCCAATTTTCAAGCTACATTCACAAAAACCTCAGACTCTTCTTGCAAAACCAAACTTTCACCTCAAAACAGTTCAATCAAAACTGAACTATGTTGTCAAATCGTGCCCCGAGTCAATCAAAATTAAAAACACTACTGAACAATAGAAAACACAATGCTCAGGACATGAAGCTGGAGAAATAAATGTTTATTGTTCACTGTAGGCTAAATGCATGTTGCAAAACAAAAAAAAACTGTGCATTTAGCACTTGTACAAAAAGACAATGACTAAATGCTTATGAACCAGTTTAATGTTTTTTTATTTTTTGGATTTAATTGTTG